AGGCCGAAATGCCGTAAAACTAAAGGCTACGCGCCATAAGGCCGAAATGCCGTAAAACTAAAGGCTACGCGCCATAAGGCCGAAATGCCGTAAAACTAAAGGCCTACGCGCCATTAGGCCGAAACGCCGTAAAACTAAAGGCCAACGAGCCGTGAGGCCGAAGTGCCCTAAAACTAGAAACCGAACTCTAAAAGCAGTTCGGCCCAACTAGATATGCGACAAGGTGCGCTCATTCATCACATACATCCATCATACATTCATCACATACATTCATCATACATTCATCACATACATTCATCACATACATTTACCATACATTCGCTCATTCCACATGTGACCGCATTATGCATACAGTCTCGTAAGAAATAAAAAGCTCAAAGCTCACTCAGACAAATAGCTCTAAGCTCACTCATGTCGACAATTCAAAATGCATTTCTGCATAAAAACGGGTACCAAATTACCCGACCAGGTCGCTCAGGCCCCATCCAATAGCAAATTCGCAAAATTGTCCATTATCTCAAACCGACTCAACTCGTCAAGAGATTGAAGAACGTGATTATCGTAAATACGTCAGGCCAAAGCTTGAAATGATCGACAAAGCGTACAAGGGTCCCGAAGTGCCCGAAAACAGCAAAACAACGATCCAAGTAACCATAGTTACTCGATAAAGATTAAATAAGTCCTCGAGACGCATAAAGTAAAAGCCGACAAGATAAAAGTGATCTCGTGAATCACGCAAAAATTATTCAAACACGCGTACTCGACAGCATATATATGACTTCACCAATGGTTCTCGTTACGTAAGTATTCTTATGCAACTTAAAGAGCTCGAAGCTCGAAAGATCACGGGGCGAAAACATCGCCAAATTATCAAGAATAAACGCGACTTCAGAACAGTTCAATCAGAACATGTCCTAAACTCGGGGGCCTCCTGTTGATACCTAATTTGGCTCCGATTAAATAAATGATAAATCAAATAATAAAATACGGCCCGATAACCGAGGAGCCGAAAATACATGATAAATAAATATACAAACAAGTTATCAAAACTGATCACGTGAAAGCCAGACGGATCCCTAGATGTCGAGTCCGCCCACTGCCAAGGCGGACAGAGTTGAAAATAATTGGATGGCTCACATACCACGAAGAAACTGCTTTCGATAAACGCGACAATTGCCGAGAAGACGGACGCCAATTAGAACCGTCAAGAGTCATAAGCGGGTCTTACGATAATCATATCACATTAAATAATGTACCATTTGCTACATATTTTATGAGCCCACTTGTAAAATGGGGCCATGTATATATATGTCAAAAAGAGGAAAGAAAAGGGATGGGCTCCTCATTTTATTTTTTCTTCCCCACAATACAAGAGAAAGAGAGAGAGTAGGGGAGGTTGGATGTCTCTCTCCATTTTTCATCTTCTTCCATAATAAAGAAATATCATTTTCCACCAATTTTGTCCTTCATTTTTCATTCAACAATTCGATTCGCATTTGATAGTTGATCG